CACACAAAGGAAAATTGGTCTCCTGCGCGCGGCGCGCAGGAGACCAGAATTGGTGTAAACCATACTTCTCAATTGTGAATTTTCCCCCTGTTAAAATGGCCACAATGGAGTAAAGGCTTGTTTTGGAGCCCAATCAACAAGCTATCAATTAACATCACCACAATGTTAGACCTAAATCCGCCTCACAAGAATGGGCCTAATTGGGCTTACTCATTTGAGACACAATTCAACAAGGGAAAATTAACTAGTGAATGGAATTTGACACTGGAAATTGAAATTGAACGAGTGAAAATTACATGGATCTAGAGATTTAGTGATCTCATTTCATAAATCATCAATTATGTTTACTAATTCAAAATCAGATGTTTTGTTAATTTATATATTATTATTATTAAAAACTAATTGTATATCCACTTTTCCTCCACATTCTCTCTCCACTCTTCTGTCCTCTCTCTGTACCCTAATTAATTAAAGTGTAATGCTACACTTACACACTTGGTTCACATTCACTTTCACATCCCTCTCACATAAGAGGTAGGTTTGGAATTTTAAAAATGGCGGCCCTCATCCCTCATATGAGAGGGATGTGAATGTGAATGTGAACCAATGTGTGTACATTTAGCATTTTTGTTAATTAAAATCACTATCTATAAACTGCCCCAATTTTCCACTGTGAATGAATTCGTTGTCGCGCGACATACACCACAGCCTCTCTTTGCCCTAATTTTCCACCCTCTATAATCATCGTAGTTGCCTACAGTCGCCGTGGTATTGAACTGGTTTATATTTTCAGTGGGATTGTGGTGTCACTGTGCAACGGTGCAGCGCCACCCCAACGAGGTGCAATGGGATTGTTGATGAGGATGAGGAAGAAGGTGGCATGATAAATTTGTGGAGTGGCTTCGAGCGAGGTGAAGGATATTATCAATGGAAATTGATGATCGATAGCGGTTTGTGTCAAGGGTATGAGGGGGTGGTCTTGGCTGCTACGATGAATACGCATGTAGCGGCAATGACACAACCGCAACATCGTTGTTGGTGAGTGGCTTTGATTTTGGATATGTTTTTTTTTTTTTTTTTTNTTTTTTTTTTTTTTTTTTTGTATTGTGATGTTGGTTGCGGTGGTAATGAGATGGTGATGTGGCAGTGTTGCTCGTCGTGGTGGTGCAATAGTTTGTGGGTGGGATGGCGTGGGATGGGGATGTTTGTGACCAATTATTTGTTTGATTGTGATAAAAAAAATAAATTAATTTATGATCAATAAATAATATGTGACTTAAAAATTTCAATCGTAACTTATAAAAATTATGATTTTTAATCAATAAATAAATTGTGATCTATAATTTTTTGATTTGTGATTGTTGAAAAAATTATGATCTATAAATTTTTTAATTTGTGACCGTAAAATAATTTGTAGCTTATAAAAGTTTTTATTCGTGATCAAATAGTATAATTGTAATCTTAATATATTTAATTAATAAATAGATTTTTAATTAATTATTTCATAAATAAAATTTAATTAATATCTGATTTTTAAAGTTTTAAACTTTGTTTTTTAGTTTTGAAATGTGTCTTACTTAATCTCTTAGATATAAAATTTTCTCATTGAACAATGTTATGTGTACAGGGGAGATTTACAAGAAAATGCACAAATTTCCATTCGGCATATTTTCATTGGGTGGTGGGAAAAAAAACAATCATACATGTGCTGTCATCTCAACACCAATAAAGCCCCTTGTGAAGTTAATATGTACGAACAACTTAGCTGGTTGAAATTTACTGTACTCTAAAAAAATTGGAAATACACGTAGAAATTGGAATTAACTAAAAAATACTAGGTCTTTAGTGAAGGGTTGCGTTTTTTAAATGCCCACGTCAAACCCTCCAATCACCACATAAGTCTAGCTTACTAATTATTCATTACAATAACATTTTCAACATTATAAGACAAAAATACCCTTTATTTCAAATTTTAAAAGCGAAATTTTTCCACAGATGTCTCGGAGGTTTGTTTCCAGACCTCCTAGACGAGGGCCCGGAAAGACCTCGTTTAGGTGGTCGATTTCCAAACCCCCGGCCACCCAGACCCCCCTCCCCCCACGGAACTCGTTAGCAAATAATAGATTTGTTGTGATTTCTTCACTGATTTGAATTTTTTCAATACAATTAAAGAGTTTTTAGTTTAAATCTTAGAATATTAAAGCTAAAAACACATTATTCATCAACATTATAAGGAAGAAAATTAGAATTCAACCAAATAAAATGAAGAAGCCTTGAATATGGAGGCGGAGATAGATGAAACAACCTTGAAGAATGGAGATGGAGAGGATGAAGAAACCTTAAGAATTGGTTTATGGTAGGAGATATTTTCAAATTTATAACATTTTTCAAATTCTCAACATTCAAAATGAGAATAAAATGGATGTAAATTTATTTTTGGCCAACAACATATGCTAAAATTCACTCGAGCTATCCAAAAATTCCAATTCGGAGTCTGATACGATAAATTGCCACTATATTGAATATAAAAATTACTCGTCCTAGTATAACAATATTCGATAACAATAACACTGTCGTGGAGTTCACATGTGTCATCTTCTATTGTTAGTGACTTCTTTTTTGTCACGTTTATGCCACTTTAGAGTGGATAAAGAACATTTAATCCTACTTTCGAATCGTGGGCTGCTACCATCGCGAATAAATGTCATCACTAAAAACTTGAGAAATAGCAAATGAGAGAACACTCGTAATAAAAGTGGGCGACTACAACTTGTAAAATTTGCTGTAAACAAAGTTTTACTTTTACAATACAATAAACGTAAAAACATATAACGAGCAACTATCATTTCGATTTTAAAATTGGCCTAACAGAGGCAACAATGAGCACACCACTAGAGGTCAAGCATATCAAATGCTCAAAAGGATAATATCATTTTTCATTGAGTGAAAGTGACAAAAAAAGTTGCTCCTTTTGTTTAGAAAACGTGCCAACTAGTTAATATCCATGTGAAAAAATAGATTATAGCACTCCAAGAACATACTCCGTAATAGAAGGTGAGGTGATGAATGAACCTTTTTGGGTGGACACCAATGAATCCATGCGAAATGTATCATCACGAAATTCATATGTATATTTTGTGTAACCGACAAATTGTTCCTCTATAGACGGATTATGAATGATGTGTCGTTTTCGAAAATGTGTGACTATCAAATCATGTTATTCTTGCGTTGATAGTGCACTTGAATAGTTCAATAAGTCGAGTGAAGTTTCTCCTTAGATTATGGTCGAACTCAATAAGTCGAGTGCTAGATTCGCCAGTGATTGAACTTGGTATTTAAAGGAGATTTTGTAAATAAATTATCAACCCTCAAATTTTTGAAGTTCATAGTTTCATTCGAATCTCCAAGTGCATACCCAAAGGCGACGGCTTGGTGTTAGATGATGGATTTAATTTTTGGCTCAATTTTATGGATGATTGAGCTTATGAACTTCATAGTTCATACATAAGTTGGTGGTCATGAGTATATTAAGGATTCCCAATTGTTTTGGTCAGTAAATCCATTTTTTCCCAGAATTTGGAGTTTACAACAAACAATTCTTCTCTTTGCTTTTTTTTTTTCCTTTTCTTTTTTCCTTTTCTTTTTTCTTTAGGAAATTGGAGTTTTGGTAGAAGATGTGTAGATGGTAGGAAATGAGAAATAATTATGTTTGTGTGTTTATTGTTTTATTTTTTAAGTTTAAGCTTATTGTCGGAAAGGGATTATCACAAGAAACCAAATTTGCCACCTAGATATTAAAAAATGTATGCTCTCAGACTACGAGTATTAAACTCTTTTATCTGTATAGTTGTTTTTAATTGTATATTTACACAATAAAATATTTTGCACGTAAATTTCAAAAAAAAAAAAAAATTCATTCTTTTAACAACACATTATCCTAAAAATTACTATTCAAAACTCTATTTTTCTTAAAAAATGATTGTCAAACAGAGGCTTAAGTTGCACATGATGTTAGGTATCTAAGTTGATCCACGGAATAATTTAACATGATGAATGAAAAAGAATTGTAGATGGTTAGTTCGAGGTGGGGCCTCGCTGATATCATGTTTGTCCAGTGTTTTTGTCATCCTTACTTTCCCGTCACAATAGTCTCATTTAGGGTGCTGATGAAAGTTCCTTTTTTTTTTTTGTCTCAAATAGTTTTTTCTTATTATAATTAGTTCTTTCACGTATACAACCGATGAGACTATGGATCCTGCTAAATAATATTCAATTTTAGTTGGGAATTAGTGAAAAGTATATAAGAATAATGACTAAAAAAGATTGTATATACAAATATATGATATTAATATATATGGGTTGCCTATTGTGACTGCAAATTTTTTTCTCAGAAAAGGAAATATGGACCTTTGAATTTTACATTTTCACCCTTCAACATAGTGTTTTGATTTCCAAATTTTACTTTTTTGATTCTTGACCATATACAAGTCCAAGTTTTGAGGCATGGAAAATGGTGGCCGGAGCATTTCAAGAAGTGGATCAAATTTTGTGTTTGAATCAAATTTTAATATTTGAATTCTCGTTGGTTCATATGAATAGTCAAGATATATATTCAATTGCCTGTAACACATGTTGTCTATTTATTAAGGTAATGACTGTATGAAAAATGTGCCAGCTTCAATATATGGAATGTGTACTCGGTTTCATAAGCCAAATGTTTGACCAAATTAAGAATCGAAGTCAAAAGTAGCCACAGACAGTCAGACACAACTAAAAAAAATGAAAAGAAATGAAAAAATTAATATAATTATAATAAAGAATTATTTTCCTCTGGTCAATGTTTGACAGTCTTTTTTTTTCTCTCTTTTGCTCCTATAAATACCCCTTGCTGCTCTCTAATTGACACACAACACAAACTCCTAATCAAATACAAGATAAAGAGTAAATCAAATTCTTTGCATCCAAGAGAATTATTTTTAGAGATAGAGAGTGAGAGAGGGATGGACTTATCGCTTCAATCTTTTGTAAGTATTACTTTGGCCATGGTTGCCATTGTGATGGGGAGATTATTATTTTCATGGTGGATTATGCCTAACTTGGCATATAAAAAGCTCAAGGCCAATGGGTTTTCCGGGCCGAAACCAAGTTTTCCTTTTGGAAACTTAAGTGACATGAAAAAGGAGAAGAAATCTGAAGATTCTTCCCCATCTTCCAGCATCATATCCCATGATATCCACTCTGCTGCATTTCCATTCTTCGCCCGGTGGCAGAAATCCCACAGTAAGCTTGCGTTTATATGTGTATGTGCGCGCGCACGTGCACTTGCATTCACAAGAAGATTTGAATAATTTTTTGTGTATCGCTAATTACGGTTTAGTATTGTCTAATACTGGAGTTTACGTCGCAGAAAAACTAAACTTCTTGGTTTGTTGTTTTTGTAGAGAAAGTATTCATCTACTGGTTAGGGACAGAGCCATTCCTTTACATTGCAGACCCTGAATTTCTGAAGAAGATGACTGCAGATGTAAGAGGAAAAAGTTGGGGAAAGCCAACCGTTTTTAAAAATGACAGAGAACCCATGTTTGGCAATGGTCTTGTAATGGTTGAAGGCGAAGACTGGGTCCGGCACCGCCATGTTATAACTCCAGCATTCTCTCCGGCCAACTTGAAAGTATAGTCTTGTAACCATATTTTCATGCAGAAACTTTTCTTTGATTAAGAGTATACCATTTTAGCATGTGGAGAAGTCCTTAACCTTGTAATCTCGTACCATTTAAAAGTAACATTTGAATATTCTTTAATCCTACTTAAGGAATTTTTTTTTTTAACTCTGTTCTATTTGACAGGCTATGTCAAGCTTAATGGTGGAGTCAGCAACTAGTATGCTCGACCGCTGGAGTATCCTAGTCAACTCCGGCAAGCCAGAAATCGACGTTGAGAAAGAAATCATAAGCACAGCCGGAGAGATCATCGCGAAAACAAGTTTCGGCATGAGTTATGAATACGGAAGAAAAGTGTTTGACAAATTAAGAGAAATGCAAATCACTCTTTTCAAGTCCAACCGCTATATAGGGGTACCCTTTAGCAACGTCTTAAACCCTAAACAAACTTTAAAGGCCAAAAAACTTGGAAAGGAAATTGATGCCCTCCTCTTATCCATAATTACCGCTCGAAGCAAATCCAGCAAAAGGCATCAGCCTCAGCAGGACTTGCTCGGTCTACTGCTGGCGGAGAATACGGTAGACGGTCGCCTTGGAAAACGAGCCTTAACCTCTAGTGAACTGGTTGATGAGTGCAAAACCTTTTTCTTCGGCGGCCATGAAACCACTGCATTGGCGGTGACATGGACTTTGCTCCTCCTTGCACAGCACCGTGAGTGGCAAAATCAGCTGAGAGAAGAAATCAGAGAAGTGATTGGAAATGGAGAAATTGATGCAACAACGGTTGCTGGACTAAAGAAGGTAACATTGTCCTTTCACAATATCATGCGTGCATGTTAAGTTATTTCAATGCTTTAATTTAGCCAAAACCAGATAATGGAAAAAAGAAACTTGTAAAAACACTATCTTTAGGGTACTAATTACTTCTAAGGATAATTCATATTTCATCTCACTAGTAATAACTAAAATTAAATAAATAAATGCATCGATACATATGGGATTGAGAACGGCCACCGTGAGTGGCCAGTCAGACGCCGTGGATGGTGGACCCCATTAACCATCTTGTATGGGAAATTTTACTCAAAAACTGATTTTTCTGAGAAATAAAATCTAGAAAACAAATCCCATTAGGCCATTATAATTAAGTTTATTCTATGATAATAATATTTTTTTTTTTTTATGTTTAATGCAGATGGGTTGGGTAATGAATGAAGTTTTACGTTTGTACCCTCCAGCTCCCAACGTACAGAGGCAAGCAAGACACGACATTAAAGTGGACGACCTCGTGATTCCCAACGGTACAAACGTGTGGATCGATGTTGTATCAATGCACCATGACCAAAATCATTGGGGACAAAACGCGAATGAATTCAAACCAGAAAGATTTAAGGATGACAATTTGTATGGAGGATGCAATCACAAAATGGGATTTTTGCCATTTGGATTTGGAGGAAGAATGTGTGTTGGTAGGAATTTGACAAGTATGGAGTACAAAATTATGTTAACCCTAATCTTGACTAGGTTTTCCTTTTCTCTTTCACCAAATTACTGTCATTCTCCCTCTATTATGCTGTCACTTAGGCCAATGCAAGGTCTTCCTGTGATATTTGAACCTCTATAATGTTTGAAGCTAGCCCTTTTAATTTTCTTAATTAGGGATGCAGAATTGTAATTAATTTCAGTGCTATTTCTGATATTTTTGTAATTCTTTTTAATGTATTTCTTGAATAAAATATTTTTATTACGCAATAAATGAAACTTTTTTTTTTTCCGTTCAAAGCCATTGTTTGCTTTATAATCAATTTATAATCTGTCAAATCACTTTTTATCTACGTACTTACAAATACGTTATCCACTAATTCATATATTTTACTACTACTTTCTTTTTTTCTTTTTATTATTAATTATGTGGGTCCCAATCAACCAATGTGAGACGGACACTCCAAACTGTCACTGAATTGACTTCTTAGCATGTTTTTCATTATTTGCCGGTGCGTTATGAATATGTACATTTATGTTGTGTTTATTTATACTAGGTGCAAGCAACGTGCATTACACGTTTGCCTAATTTATATTTAATAGTTTTGTTTAATAATTAATTTGTTATTAATAAAGATGTAATTTTTTTGGTTGATTAAATAATTAATGATGTAATGTTTATGTAATTGATAAATAATTAGATGTGTGATCTTGATATTGTGATGTAAGTTGGTGAGATCGAAGATAATAAGCAAAAGTTGACAAATTTGGAGAAATTGCTAAATTGTAAGGGATCCAAAGTTCGGGAACTAAAATGTAAGTACTTAAAAGTTGTGCCGAAGCTCACGATGAAGATTTGAGAGTGCTCGGAGCCTCGGNGAGATATTAATGAGTTTTAACAGTTTGGGAAGATTTTCTGGTATATTTACAATGGTAGGGCTCATATTGAGAAGTTGCATACTTTGTGTAATTTTTATTTTTCTAATATTGAATAAAAATCAATATTAACACACTCTATTTTTTTTTTCGACTTAATATATCCACGCTATAAATTGGGTAAATATTCAAAAAGCCGAATACATAAAGAAACCAAATATTTGACCGATTGTTTTAACAAGGTTTTGCTGTCACTGTCACATCCGCCTCACCTGAATCATATACATCTTCCAACTAGAATTGACTCCATATGACACGTGTAAATAAATATATACATGTGGCATGATGAGATGTCATCATTAAAAACATGCGTACACATTCAATCTTACTACATGTACATCCTGATTTACACCCTAACTTACTGAATTTATACTTGACATAATCTCACACCATCTTTCACATCTCACACATTTAATCAAACCATTACAATCTCGCTACATTGCCAATTTGTCAAAAAGAATGTCAAAATACATGTACAAATAGCTTATTGTGTACACATTTTATATGGGACTAACAATTTCTTCCTTATGTCCACATGGATTGACCATGAATTGCTCGACTCACATCGACCTCGTATTCATAATCTCTACTTCTAGCAAATCTAGCATTAGCCTCAATCAGACTTGCTCGATCCAAGATAGAACAAAGAAAATCCAGTCAACATTCAATTTTGAACCAAAAAATGGAACCAAACTGCTTACAACAATTTGGTTTAGATTTCAATACCTAAAACTATTTGAAATCGATTTAAACTGTTTATCAATGACAAGACCTTAACCTTCATCTTTTATCATATAATACTCTCTAATCAACCGTACCGCGAAACATGTCATAAGTTTGTCTTGAATGTGGAATTTATTTTGTGCATCATCGGTTTAGAGTATTGAACAACATTAAACAATATAAAATTCAAGATTTGTAGCTTTTTCTTGTTGACACTATGATATACTATCGATCTTCCCTACCAAATATGCTATAATCGTCACTAGAATATGGGGGTGGGCCCGTGGGGGATTAAAAAAAATTAAAAAATAAAAGAGGAGACCAATTAAGAATGTGCACTGATGATGTTGAATATGAAGGAGTATGTAAACATAATGTCACATTGAATACAACCTCATTTATTGTAAACCCATGACAGAGCTTCATTCTTCCTAAGAGTTCTACAAAACACTGCCAGACTAGTACTTTCTCTATTGCAAATGGATTTATATGATGAATAATGACCCTAAAAAAGAGGCAGACACGCTGGGAATCGCACGTTCATCCATAGTTTCTCGTAAGATACCAAATGGTACCATTCTATTTGCTCCAGCAATGAAATCTTCATTTCATATAGCTTCCTTTTCGGAGGCTGTTCATCTTGGATCATGTCGTTTAACACCTGTTTCAACAAAGTCAGTCAGCAAAAGACTTTCGAGTTCTAGGACTTCTTTCTCATATTTTTGATAAGAGTAATGTTATTCATCTCTAGTGGGGATGAAAACACAGTCTATGTGGCTTTAAATGATAAGTTAAATGAAAGGTGAAATTAAATGACTTACTTAATATCACCTATCATTTAATGCCACATTGACGTCACGGATTGACATAAATCAAGGTTACCTTTAGTGCAGTTCCAAGCCTTCCTTTACGTCTCTCATTTGTAACTAAGAGTGTGCCGTATCTGGAGGATTTTACATCCACCCATTTTTTGAGTTCTTTGAAGTTCTCTTCAAACAAATCTGGTTGGACATGAGAATCGGAAGCAGCTTCAGCATCCTCCGCATCCGCGTGTTTCTCACCCTGTCACGACAATCATCGTGATTAGATACACTCAAAAAATTTAACTGGAAATGCCATGGCTTGAGAATTTTGCTAATTAGCCATACAACGCACAAACAAAACACCAAACTACGCACTAATTTGCCTAGACATACATATTATTCTTCTATATTAACTAGTATAGTGCATCATGTTCATGGCCAACGAAAAATATCCAAAAGAGAAGGTACAACATATGACAACAATCTGAAAGGTAAGGTGCAGCATAAGTGGATGGAATACCAATATATTTACCTTCAGATGTTCGATCTCTGCTAAAGCTATTCCTTTCTGGTACAAGGCTTCTGCCAACTGATCACGAGTTGTCTCCATTTTCTTTTTCAGTTTCTAAGTAATGAAGCATATTACTAGAGTGTAAGAACAATCTATAACTATTTATATGAGAAATGATGGATTTCCCATAATATTTCAGGATGAAAAATGAGGAGTAACTGACAGAATTAGATACTCACTTCTGCACCCTCATCTTCTGGCTCGGTTTTCTGAGAAAGATATTTGGCCAATTCATCTGTATCAACACTATCAATAACCTCATCTGCGGCAGTGATGATCTGAAGAGTAGCTTCTATTAGTTACGGATCACAAATATTCAAGTCATAAACAAGATGTTTAATGAATATAAATAAAGAAGCATGCATCATTAATACTTTGAGATTTGAATTAAAATATCGCTAATAATCTTTTGGCGCCAGAAGACGGGAAAGCTGATCTTTGTATTTCAGTTTACCTCTTCATAATGATGAATCTTGTCTTCACCATTCTTCTGGGAGAGCAACCCTTCCAATATTTTAGAAAGCAATGGCGTGTATTTGGGGTACTCTGACTGAAAATAAATTGTAACAAGTAAACATTCAGCAATTGAAATAGCATGCCACATAGTGAGCTGAGGAACCGTATGATCAGACATATATAACAAAATGCATCTAAAGAATTCAAAAGGTAAAGATGAACTATCAAATAAATGAGCTGAGGGGAAGCTCATGAAAACTAAAAGATAGATAATTTAGTCATTAGATTGAAAAAACTATCCAATAGTAGTTGATTTTGTCCAAAATGATATCCATTAACGAATCAGGTACTTGTTATAATCCACACATACATGATTTCTGAAAAAAAGATGCCTAAAGATATAGAGAATAGTGACCTTAAGGGAGATGGATAACTTCTTCCATGCAGCACGTTCCTCATCAGTGCCTTGTTTTAGACTGGCTAGAACCTTAATTTTGGTATTGCGGAGCTGTTGGCAAGATAAATTCCAAAATTAAGCATCTTGGCAATTTGAAACACCAAAAGAAGATTCTTCAGTATAATTAAGATATTTAGAATCACCCAATATGTAAGAACAATGATAGAGCCAACAATATCATCCTAATGTAGTATGCATTCCCCCCTTCTTTCTGTATTTAAATTATTGATTGTTCTGTTTTCCTTTTCCCTACCTGTGTGTGGTGGAAGGTGGATTGGTGCAAAGATTTTATAAAACCTTAATTTTCTTTTGCGATATTGGGAGAAGAAATTCAGGTGGGCTAAAAGACTGACAGAATTGAAATAAAATTCTGTAAAGAGGATATATTTAACATTAAGGACTGGTAATCAATATCTCTAAACTAATGTTTAAAAAATGATCGCAAAACTATAAGCGACTGCAGAACTACTAAAAATGCAAGCTGCAATTCATACGAAGTTTAAAATTGTGCTGTAAACTTATAATATTACCTCTTCTTCTAACTTTTCCTCCACACTCTTAGTGCAACTTGAAGAAAAACATTTACCCTTGTCGTCATCAATCTGAACAGAAGATATAAACTCAGTTACAGAAAACTTGGACAAGCATAATAAAAAACGATATAATAAATCCAAACAAAGGCGAGAAATGAATTCATGTTCTCAGACCATAATAAATCGAAATTATCAAAGATATCAGCTGTCATAACCTGAATTGGTGGCACTAGATATGATATGCCATAAGATACAGGATTCTTTTCTGGATTTTTACCCACATCGTTCATTGCAGATGAGAGCTTTCCGTATGAAATTGCCCCAACCAGTTCAGATCCTCCTGGAGTGTGCTGCAAGTAAATTAAACATCAAATTGACTTACTCTGTTAGCAACTCTCCCATTGGGCTGCAAATTATGAGAGGATAAAGTGATGCTTTTATAGACATGAAAGATTTCAAGATGCAAACCTTGGGGAGCTTGTCCTTTGTTGGAGGGCCCACATAAAATGCTTCTTTCACGCTACCATGAGTGAATGTAAAGGAGGTTATTACATAAGCATATGAAATGACTCTAAGGAGACGAAGATTAGCGTGAAAACAATATACCCAGGAACTAATGTTGAAGATTTAAAGCTTCCATTACCCATCATGGGGCCATCAGGTTGATCATAAAAACTCAATCGAATAACTTCCTACATCAAGAAAAATATAAGAGCATCAAACAGATATCTCCAAAAGAAGAAAAACCATAAAGTTTAACATGCGATCAAATTAAAGGATATCCTGACACCTAGAAGGATGAAGGTAAAATCATCTACAAGAGAGCCCATTTGAAATTTCAATATTTCCAACCCAATTAGTATAGTGTTGGTAATCTACCTTCTCTTCCAAGGTTCTTTCAATGAATAACACCAAGTGTTTCATTTTCTCCAAACACTGCATATTGTCATGCCTGAAACAAAGAAATGGACGATCACGAATGCAATATCCAACTTTCTCAAGCTTTAGATATTAATGTAGATTTTTCTTTTCCTTCCTTTTGTCCTTCTAGCCTTCTCAACCTTACCTTTCGGCATAGCTTGAAACACTCAAATGTATAGGAAAAACCTTAGCACAACACAATTTAAGACAAGGATTACAGGTTCCGCATATTCAGACATCAATAAAAATTTCACCTGCTAAAATATTTGTAATCTCAAGTACTAAATCAAATGACAAGAGCAACAGTGAAGTCCACAACAGATGTTTTGTCTGTATAAATTAATGCAATCTTAGCAGTTGCACAGAGAAAAGGGCATTGCCTTAGATAAAGGTGCAAATTGTATTCACCCTTGGGAAGTTTTGCAGAATCTGGATAAACATCACCCATGGCATATACACGCTACAACAGAAAAAGAAATCAGTAAGCTAAGTGAAAACCAGCACATCGAGGAACACCAAGAAACTAATGTCAATTTCCTAAAAGAATTGTATAAGCCGGACTCAAAGGTGGATGGATATAAGTAAAGAGAAATAAGCCCGTGTCCATAGTTTGGGATTCCAAGATCCTTCATTTCTATGACATAAAATAACATTTTAATATTTTAGCACTACAAGGTTGGCTGTAACTAATGCAAATAATCACTGTATCTGGCTGGCATTCATCAAAAAGTATCAATTTGAAACAAACACACGGTAGCACAAACAACAGGAGTTTGAGATCCATAGTCATTTTCCTCCAAGGTTTTGTACTACAAGAACGCCAAACAACTTTTGAAATCAATTTATGGAATCTAAATTTCATTGAAGAACATGTTAATGAATCTGAAATGGCAGATTTCATTTTCCAGTTTAAAACCTTTTAACACACACATTGCACGCAAGTAGATGCTAGAGTTATACTGTTCGAGTGGTGGAAACATTTTCTATTCATTTTTCACTAGCATGTGAATATTTTTAACACTATCTATGATTTGGGGTGTTGTTAATATCATGTTGCAAGTTTATTGAGTAGCCAAAAATTCCACAAGGCAACCTGAAGATTCGGTAAGAGGAAGCACGTAGATCAAGGACTAGAACTCTCATTTTATAAATTTCTTATGTAGACACATATTCCTTATGACTACTCTAAGACTTGGCAACAGGAAACAAAAACATAAAGGGCTAGATTTCAGGGGCTGTGATGTTAATAATAGACTATTTTCTCACCCCGGGTCATTTCTGGATGAAGATTTTAAGAAGCATGATCTACTCCAGGTAAACCCATCTTTGACTCTCTTATGAAAAACACATAATATAATCTAAAAATTTCCACATTTTTTAAAAGATAGAAATCTAGAACGGTACTAGAAGCCATTGACAGTTAAAATTTGTAGTAACTCCTATATAAAAAGTTGGACTGCAATGAAATAGTGCTACATTCTTAGTGGGACATCTCCACATAATTCTCGCTTCCATAGTAAGACTGCTAATAACATTCTCACATATTATCATACAGACATCTAAACTAAGGTGCACATATGGAAGCAGAACACCCAGAGTCTGCAGCATGCAGTCTTTAGAAATACAATAGCATTTCTCATTCCAGACCCATATCAGATCAGGCATATGTAGAGGCAATCTCATTGATATGGCATATATCCTTCTTCACAGTGGGGGCTGTTTTAAAATGTCTATGCACGAGGATGAAGTTTTTGTTTCCAGCATTAGATGTGAAGATAAATAGGTGTGATTGCAGGTACTTAATTATGTATGTGGGTGTCTCTTTGTCTATCTAGATAATAAAGTCAAATAAGGGACAAAATCCAATTCGTAGAGAGCAGGAGAAGAAAACATAACAACAATAAACAAAATATTAACAGAATCAATATGTTTGAAAAAGATACGAGCTTCTCTACAGCGAGAAGAAAAAATGATTAACATGTGATGAGCACACTGGATAACAGTCAGTATCTAAGAACAAAAGATATTCACCTTGTTTGGATCTGATATCATGTAAAATTGAGACTCAAACTTGTTATCATATATGCGATTGTTAAGTAGGGGAATCTGAGGCTTTATCTCAGCTGCATCTTCCAATTTGAATTTGTAACTGCAACACCACAGGGCAAGAGTACGTCAGGTATCATCACCATAAGTGCAATCAGATGACATAAGAAAGTAATTCTGTGTTAAACAAGAACCCACGTCAATATTAGTGCCAGTGTCTGTTTGCCTGACGGCAATTTGTCCCGCTCTGCTGCTAGCGTGCTCAGTTTAGCATCAATAGGACGATATGGAACTCTTACCTGCAAAAGATTTCATCTATGAACAAAGAAACAAGAAATATACCCAGAAACAGAAGAAAAATGATGACGACGATGAACAGTCTTGGCTGGAAAAGTATTACAAGTAGAGGTAGTCGCAAACAACTCACTACCTTATTTAGTACTGCTGTAGGGCCAAGTTTCTCGACAGATAGAAGAGCTTCAGCGTCAACTCGGACAGGTGCTTCACCACCATGAAGTACAATGTCTTTGTTGTTGATTTTGATGCCATGGAATGCAATCTGAAAATTTGAATCAAAGACCCAAAAAGAATTTTCTTATTGAACTATGAAACATATTTATAAAAAAAGGAAACAAATTGTCACCCCAAATCTTATAAAAGAACAACACCCCCCAGCACGTGCACAAAAAGATGGGAGAAGGAAGAACATAAGGCACAGAACATGATCTTTAAAACCAGCAAGAAAATAGACAACTGTCAATGACTGAACTAATAGCATTCCCTTGTAGTATATATGTATTGAAATACACCCATACAACAAAGTAAAATTCAGTACAAAAATATTTTTTAAAAAAAGGGAAAAACTGATGAACAATACGTTAATCTCTCTCCTAATCGACAAGGCCAGACAAGGTAACCATTCTATTTCTGGTTGTAAATCATAATATTGCAGCGGCTATTAGTTCATAGAGATCATAGAGGCTTTGACAATAGTCAAACTTTTAGTCTGCATAGTAGCCATCTTTTTTATGGTTAAAAAAGTTCAAGGTTCTATAGCCAAAACTTCCGGTTTAAGAAGTTGCCATCTTTTCTGATGGTTTTAAAAAAATAAAAATAAATTCTGAAACTAATTGATGTTCATCTTTCCATGATGTAAGAAGTTAGACTGTTAAACTTACATTCAATCACATGTAGTAGTCATGAACATCAAAAGAAAAGTACACTAAGAATGCACAAGCTTTTATGGTTGCTGCATTACAAGTGATGCAAAAATATTCTCCTACATTCTGGAATAATATTGAATAAAAAGGTTTAATGTAATGATAGCTATATTGTTTTTCTATTGCTAATGCACATAATGATGCAAGAGTGCTGAAGTGTTCCAGCAGTTAAACTTCATCATTTTGGAAGAATACTAAATTCTACAAGGAAGGAAACGTTACTTCTAGATCTACAACAGTGGTTTCATGAATTCCAACACCGCTGGACCAAAATTGAGCTATTGCTAGTTCCATTGTAAGGCCACCCTCCACAGGAAAGGCAAAGCTTTTGGAAGAAGGAGAAGAAAATGTAGCAACACTTTCCCATTTCATTGGCCTTCGAAGGGGGGAAATCTGTACACAAAAGAATGTTAATGAACATCCAATCATTTGTGAGATGGCAGATTAATGAGATCCACAGATGTTTTACCTGAACAGCATCTATGAAAAATCTTCGAGCAGTTTCAAATCCTGATGTTTTCATATTTGCCTCAACCCAAGTTGCACCAAGTGGAACTTCAATAAACGTGCGTTCAATATGGCCTACATAAGAAGCAAATACTAAAACGGGGATTTCCAGTTGAAAAAGAACGTGTTTGTCATACAAGGGGGAAAATAAGAAATAATTGGTTTAGAATCCTAAATCACGAGTTATAGATGTTTCCCAATGCATATAAAATGAGACTTGGGGCAGGAAACCTTCCAATAATTAATTGAAATTTTTGTAATTAATTAATCATCCAACGTGGACGAGGAGGAGAAGACGACAAGGAAAATAAACTCTGATAAGGGTAACTCGTCTTAACCGGGCACTAAAAACAATCCACGATAATCCTTGATAGGATCCCTCATTTTAACAACCTTGCTTCTAAAATAGATAAAAGACAACAACAAGCTAAGTCTTATTGCCATTAAATAGTGTAGTCAGTTGAATATTCCTTTGTCACTCTGTTCAATCCTGAGGTGCATCTCGGTTTCAATCCATTCATACTACCTTAACAATGCCATTTTTGGATCTTAAAAATGTGCTTTTTTGCTGCCAATACAGATAAGCGATTGGTTGGCAAGAATAGTGGATTAATATGGTGGCAAGGTACCACCCCTCTCAGGTCCCTCCAACTGGTTCTATTATAAAGGCCTATCTCACCATCAAGACAGGAAATTACAGCCAATAAATCTAGGAAGAGGTAGTAAAAGTTATCACAAGAATTCTCGAAGAATTTAGTTTTGGGAGTAAGAATACTCTCTTCAACAAGTTGCTCTTCTAGAATTAGGATATATACCAGGCAGAAATGACAGCTTTTGAAACGTGACCAGGGGAGGACGGCTTTCCACAGCTTTAGGCTTTGTAATAGTAACTGGAATTCTGAAGAGAGGACCACGCCACGGTGCTTTGCAATCTAATCCATAGACTTCATAATAGTGTAAACCATCACTGAGATGCGTAGGGTCCACAATCAAGCTGGAAATAATGGAGAAGGCTTGTATCCGTATCAATTAAAAAGATATTGTACAGTTAATTTGATTTATATTTGGTGGATACTAAGTTATGAAAACTAACTTGAAGTCACGTCCATTATGAGTGAGGAGAAGATACTCCGGAGCTCTCACCACTGCTTCTCCAGTAGAATGTAACTCAATACACTCTTCAAAGGGAACCAGTTGGTCTAGGTTGCTGGCATCTTCATGAAACTTGGGTTCCACTTTCACTGTCCACTGAGATAGACATAATCGTCAGCTACTTGGACCAAAAATTAAATTAGAAAATAAAATGAAAAGTAGTTGCCGGCATCCAAATGGTAAATGGTTCACAAGGTTAACAATGTGATTTAAGGGAAAATATTCCGCATAGATTTAATAAATACATCTGCCTCAATTATTAAGTATGAAATCCATCATTTTTCGTTGACAAACCATTATCAACCCAACATTGTTTCTAGAAGCTCATTCTAATATGCACACAGGTGAACTTACCAAAAGGACAACTGGACAACAATTTTATGACTTCAATTAAGCCTCTCATTTCAATGATGTATAATCATTTATAATCTATGTGTATTGAGAATATTACTAAAATTTGCAAAACATTGGTACAACTGCTCACTCTAGTCATTGGAAATGGAAAAGGACTTTGAAGAAAGAGTCCTTGTGTCATAATCCTTATTTAGCTTTTATTCCTTATTATTAACTCTACGAAGCAGTCTCTCATGCATGTCACTGGAAATTCAACGGTTAATATGTTTTACCAAAAGAATAAATAAAGCATTTGCAAAACATATGAAATTCAGTCGCAGCAGATCTAAATACAAGAATGGAAAGTTTCAGAAAGAATTAGACATATTTGACAAATCATCATTAAAGTCTCAAACACAATGTTGGAAGGCTAAAATGTTCCAACTATAAGGGTGTGTTTGGTACCCATTAAAATTTTCATTATCATTCTTCTACTCATTTTCAACCACACATTCTTCATTAAAATAATATTTTCCATCACATCAATAACTTTTCCTTCTTTTTCAACCACACATTCTCCATCAATCTATTGTTCCAAAATTTAAAATAATATTTTCCATCACATAAATAACTTTTCCTTCTTTTTCAACCACAAATTCTCCTTCAATCTACTATTCCAAAATACATTCTTCCAAAATAATATCCATCAAACACACCCTAAATAAATTTTGTACATTGAATAAATTCATGAATTGTGTAAAAAATTCTTCCACGAAAACAACCTCAACTAATGAGATAAACATAATTTAAAGGCATAAAGAAGTCGAAAAAGTTGATGAATATGCTATAGCAGCTTCATTTATTGACCATAGAATCTCACCTCTGTTTTCTGTCGACAAGAATTAGCCTCCCTTAGGTAGATACCTCGTGATGTGGGTGCTGCAATAAAAACACGTCTTAAATTACCATCTTATTTGGTTACTTATTGGCAATATGAGCATCCCACAAGAAGCAATGACCATTGAATAAATAGCTAACACAAAATCCCTTGAAACTGAAATTCTAAGAACTTTAATGTAGACAACTAAAAACCTATAACTTTTGCAAACATTGTGGTAACTGAAAGACCAGAAAGAAAAGTATGAACTTCCAAAACATTGCAGAGGGATTTCTGAACCACACTGCACAATCATACAGGATATCAGGATAACACGTAAGGTATTGGTAGCGGCCTTGAGAGAAAAATGGATCTTTCCTCTCAAGTACTACAGCAGTTGGGTCTGGCTGTAGCTACTACATATTCAACACCTTTGACAAACCTGTTTGAATAAAAACCTGAACCAATTGCAAATAACTTCTAGCACAAACTCATACATCATAATCAGATGTTTGATTCAAGTTGTTAAAGTGTGAAACAAAAGTACAAAAAGGAAAATTTTACCCACTTGGTTTTCCAGACTGATTAACCTTTACTTGGTACCATACACACGGAACATTACATGACTTCTGAACGTATTCATATGCCCTGACATTCAATCCCCACAAAGTATCAAGTTACAGAGGGTTCAAACAACCTCTTGCAAGTAAACAAAATAGGCAACAAGTTGTGAATCTAACTTGTCAACTTGCATAAGCCCTTGTCCAGAAGTCAGTTTATCTTCAGGCAATCCACCCACAGGAATTGCTGTGTTCTCCAGAGCCTTCCGGACACTGTATGGACTCACAGGAATCCCTTCAGCCTGCAAGATTAGATGATTTTATCAAACTATGGAAGAGACGGCATCGATGAAACCAAAATAGCAAATCAAATCAAATAAAAGCAGGACAAGTCATCATAAGAACCTTCATGGCACTGACAAGCAGAGCAACCCCACCACAAGCAGATGGAGATGACATTGATGTTCCATTCATAAGCATACGTCGTTGAAGAGTCCATGTAGGAACAGGAGCTACAGCTCCTCCAGCAGCACTTATGCAGACTCCAAGATCCCCATCAGCTGTTGGTCCTCGACTAGACCTGCATAGCTTTCAGCTAATCAGTTCAAATCAAACCAAGAACCAGAATGACAGCTTCTTCCATTTCAAATCTCACGTACTATATTTATTCAGATGAGAAAGTCAGCAATGGATGTCAAAACTAACAGTATGCCATTTGGCCAAAAATTGGATTTTTTTGGAAACCAGAATATAACATACCAGGTATATTCAAGACCTTCAGGAGGAGCCTCAACTAAGTTGTGAGTTCCGGCAGCCATGGTAGGAGAAACATATGCACCAACTCCTATAATACTCGATGTGGTACCACCGGGTGCACCCACAGTGCTCAATGCTGGTCCATTGTTACCAGCACTACTAACATATATCAGCCTGTGCTTGTTGACTACCTATAAATTCCATAAATGGTCAGTGTGACAGTGCCACCTATGGGGGCATAACAGGTAACAGCACAAGGAGCTAGTCTAAAGTTCATGGGATAGTAATCTTACCTCATTCACAAGATCAACAAAACGACCATAATCTGGGAGCAAAGTGGCCTCCCCATAACTCATGTTTATAAGATCACATTTGTGCTGCAAAATAACATTTTACAATCATAATCAAGAAAACTCAAAAATAAAAATTGCACAATTGTATAGCGCAACATCCACCTTTCAGATGACACTAACTGCCTATCAAAGGGAGTTTTTAGGTGCAAAAACTGCAGTATTGCAACATATCTATTTTTTTATTAGCAAACGGACAGAAGAAAGGTCAAATCCATAACAAGCACAAATGAACTACTATCATAGAGTTTGACAGTTAAAGCCATCTTGCTCGCGTCTTGATTTAATCTTCTTCTGTAAGTAACAAGAATCATAACAATTTCATACCTTAAGGATATAACTAACAACATGAAGTTACCCACCAATTAGTTACTTTCTTCCTAGACACGATAATCTTCCTAGGACACATGACTTTCCACAAGTGATTCGATAAACAACTTTGCAATTATTCTGGTTGATTGTTTGTTTATACAGAGATATAACATCCACAAATATTCAAAGGAAAACGAAAAGAAAGAAAAGAAGCAAGATAGAGATACAGGAAGATCAGTTCTTAGATAAGACCAACTGACCAAGCAATGAGAATGCACTTGTGAGGGTCAAATTATTGTCTCAAAATGTCAATACTCGCACAGACATGTGATAGGTAATCCTCAGCATTCGTATTATACTGATTGATTTCAGAAACCAATAGAAATTTAAGTTGCTGCCTTCCAGTTATCTTGAATCACTTCGTGAAGGGCACTATCTCAATTCTCATCTAGAGGACCACAAACCTTCTGATCTAGACTAGCACCAGATAGTCTTGGTCATGACAGGTCAAGTCAGTCAATTAAAAATTAGTGGGAAATCCATTTAACTAATACAGTAGAAAGAAGAAAGTTATTGATGCATTCAGGTCAATTGCCTTAATATATGCCCGTGTTTGGTACCGATTAAAATCTAGATTTTAAAAAAATTTGAGCTCGACTACATGAATACTTTCTCTCCTGACATTAGTCTGTCTAACTAAATAATCCTTTTCCGGACCAAAAAACTCTACCACCTTATTTTTAAAGCAAAAGTCAACAATTACTCCAACCCCATTTCTGCTCTTATCCTTACCAGTATACCTAGCTTTATAACCAGTGTTCCTAATTTCATACATGCAACGTATGATGACTCTAGTCCACATCACATGCTACCTTAATCTTATTTTTCTCAATCAAATTCTGCACCTACCTTTGACTACTAGGGAAAAGGGCATATCCTTGCTTGCTTCTCCATGCATTCAGCTGTTGTTATGTAGTGTTGCTTGTAAATATGCCTAGATAACCAGGGCAACCACTCACTACTCTAAAAATCAAATGATAAAAATTTATAGACGATTTATAATTTTTAAGTGAATTGGCAATCCCTCACTTCTTCCGTTCAAAAATTGAGTTCCTTAGTTCATATGGACACTCAATCAGAATGAATGCCTATCTTCTGCTACCAGAGTCCAGAAGTACCATCGGTGAATACTTTTTAAAGTAGTAAAGGAGATTTCAATTTATCAAATGTTGCATATCCACCACAAAAGCTTACTAAAGAACGAACTATCCCATAAAATAATCCCTGAAGATGCTTGAACAAACTACTCCATGGTAAAATATGCACACTGGTGTTATATTGCCTATTATGTGCAATCATTCCGAGAAAATGAATACTTGTAGAATTGCAAAACATATGAGATTATCAGTAGCAGGATCTACCTCCACGGCTGCAATCAGTGCTCGAGTCAAGCCTGTTCCTGTTTCCATTGAACCTAAGCGTGAATCTCCAATTTTACATGAAATCAATTGTGCTCCAGGGGCAACGCCATTCAACAAAGGCTCCTAAATTATGAAAACGTGTAGTAAAAGTGTTTTATTACATACAAGTAAAGAGAACAACGCAATGTATTGCTATCGGTATAATAAATTACCTTTTGATGGAAAGCGGCAGATATTCCAGCAACATGAGTACCATGGGGAGAGCTATCGGTTACGACACTCAAAATGTTGCCTTCATTATATATGTTAAGAACACATGTACATGCGTCTAATTTGCTAAAAATGCCATACTTTCGCTCAATCCTTCAGGAAACAACAAATTATTACAATTGCTAGAGGTATAATTTCTGATGAGACACAGTAAGTGTCCACTCCAAATATTAGACAAAATACAGAACCCAAGTGAAAAGTGGAATAAGTAAAGAATTGCAGCATAGCCTAGCAACACCAATATATTTTCAGCCACATAATTTACGAGAAAATAAAATTTTCGCTTATTGCCACCTAAAAGTATTCTGTCTCATTCCCAAGATGCAAGCAAAGAGCCTCAAACATAAATAACTTTAGACAGTCAATTGAATTGCTAGAAAAGCCTAAAGTACCTATAATTAGTTAAAGGAACAAAGTCAGCAAGCTTCCCGCATCCTGGTTCATCATCAAAACTCTGCGTGTCAAGAGCAGCCCTCCAAACTTCTCCATCATGCCATACAACAGCATCTATGACAGGTCCTTTATCATCATAGCTCTACATGTACATGCATGGTTAAATATAAGAAAAAGGAGATATATCATGAAATGTATGGAAAAGAAGATTATCCAAGACAGAGACACCGACATCAGCCTGCTTGCGTAGAAGATCAACTCTATTCTGGAGATCCTCCCTGACCTTTTTCAAGTTTGCATCCTCAATTTTCGTGTGTTTCTACATGTCAGAACATAATCATAACTACATGAAAAGAGAAAATGTAGAAAGAAATCCAGCACAAGAAGCTGGCGGGAGGAAGAAAATGAACCAAGGAACACTTTCACATGAACTCCTGTAGAGTTTCACAAGTTCGTATACATCCATATGCGGCTTAATTTTTAAAAAAGAACTGTAATACCATTCATATAATTGTACTCTATTTAAATTTTGAACACCTCTCCAAGTGCAACATTTTTGGCATGGGAGCTTAAGAGAGAAGCATTGAACTCCAACTAATAAGAGCACATAAGAAAGGTAACTTCTCCACTTTTTCACTTATTTCATCACTCCAAGAAGAAACAGTATCCCTCCCCCCTCAACATATGTGCAAACACTCTCCCCTCTCCCTTATTGATTTACAATTTGTTCATGTTACATATTTATATAAGACTGAAATATCTTTGGAACAACTTTACCTAATTTGCACACACATTGAGGGTGCCATGCAACTGTTAATTACAAGAGAAAAATAGGGATAGGGGAGGGTTGCCACTACCATAGTGAGAGGAAACAGAAGGGGGCTGGACTAAGGATGAAGAAGATGATTTCATTTTCTTTTTATGACTTCATGTTTACTCAAGGAAAAGTCATGCAATTTTTGGATAAAATCAGTTAAGGGGACCCAACTAGTACAAAATATCATGGCCGGGGACACAAATGCCAAGTAATTTATTGGGGACCGAAGTGCCAATTTATGTAAAGACTGGTGAAATCCCATGCCTGTTTCCCTATTGAAAACTACAGCAAAATATTAATTCATGGAAATTGAAAAAGTACGAAAAAGCGCACGAGGGATTCAACACCAATTAAACTGAAACTAAATTTAAGGCTCTGTTTGGATACAATTTGCAATAACTACTGCTCATTCATTATCCACGCATTTTGTGGGATCCACTACCATTCCTCTTTATAAATTGATTTATATATTTTCCAAATAGAGGCTAATCTCAAAATTTTGAACATAAAATTGATGCTAAATATAAGTGTCTCAATATGTAGTATTGTAACAAGTTGATAATGTCCAGAAAGAAGCACTAACCTTGTCATATTCATCAAGCTGCTTCACAGCCTCAGCAATTGCTTCCTGATTCTTTTCATCCCACCTTTTCTTTCTCTCTTTCTGGACACAAAAGAGTTTGAAAATGACAAAAAGAACATAAGTCAAGGACAATAAAATTAATATGAGGAAACATTTTGCTTCAAAAATTATCAAATGCCATACTGCCTCAACCACTCATTTGAATTGTAATTATAAACAAATATAGAACGGTTACCTTCAATCGAGAAGTTAGCGTATTTGCGAAAAGCTCATAAACCAACTGACAACCCACATGCCATTCGCCAGTTGGATTCTTCCATGAAGAATTTAAAACCAAAGTCGACCCTGATACACAATGTTATTTCCAAAAACTCATAAATGAAAAAGTGTAGTTAAACCTCAAACTCTTAACAAGTCTTATTTCCAATAAATCTGGGTATACAAAGCCAAATTAAGAAAAACAAAACAACATTTGCCAAAATCAAGAATCATGAGAATCAAGAAGCAAACCAGAGGTCCCGCGGATACAACTATGGTCATCAGCCTTCACTACTGTTGATGTATCAATATCCCCACTCCCAGTGCTATCAGAAAAAACCCAGACAAGAAAAACTTTCATTGGCCGGTTATATTTCACATTTCCCAGAATGAAATGAAGTTGTGAAGGGAAGTAGAAACTTTCAGATTCCAATTCAAAAGAAAACAAATTACAAGGCCATCATACTACATGTACAATTCACGATATAAATGAAGTACTCAAAATCCCCAAGCCTCACATTAAACTAGAATTTCTCCGTCTTTCATTATTACTAAATGCACAAGTACAAAATAACGAGTCAACTAATTATAATTTTTCAAGTTTTCCAATTCCCCGCAAATAAATGATTTCACCACGAATTCATTCACTTACCAATCAATAACATCTAAGATCTTTGGCTTCCCATCAGAAGTTTCTTGAAGCCCGGCAGCAGCCGGGTCCACCCCAGAATCTAAATTCACAAAAATAAATAAATAAACCCGCATTGATTTAATTCCCTTTCAATTTATGTGGGAATTGAAATATACAATAAGGGAATCGAGAAAATACCAAAAATTGCAATAATCACTCCACGACCGTCGTATTCCGGGTGGGCTTCAACAAACCGATCGGCAGCAATTTCTTTCTTGGGCATGAGTGAAGCTAAGAAAGTTGACTCGTTCAGCTTGAAATTCCGTAAAGCGCCATTGTCTTCCCCAGAAGGCATTGCCCTTATTAAGATTCTACTGCTATTCTCAGTGTAAGTGCTTTTTCTCTCTCTGCGCTCTTTACTGGAAAAATAACTTTTGTGTGCACTAATGAGCAGAGTATGAGTGAGAAACGATGAATGAAAATGTGATTGGAATTGGTTGGAATGGGCGGTATTTAAAGCCAATGATAATGGGATTTGCATTAGTGTGTAATGATTGGTGAATTAATGATTTTGTTAGGGGTGATTTCGGAATTTGACAATGTGGGTATGGGATACCGGCGGCGGAAAGTGGAGGAGTACACAGAAAGATGGCCAGATGCCGGGATTTTAGGGGTTATTTGGGTTGTGTAGAGGGCGGAGTTACCTAGAAGTTTTTGTTAAATTACTCTGTCTATCCTTTGCATGGGAAGAATGGACTAATGTGACCCACATAATTGGTATGATTGTGGATAAGAACCTTGGGCCCCTTTGAATAGCCCATCAGAATGCGAATAACATTAGTGGCTTAAATATCGAATAACATTAGTAATTTAGTGGCGTAAATAAAGAGAAAATTATTCCAAACCTTACGTCTTTACTTTCCATTTCAATAATCCCATGATGAAGCTATTTTTTTTTTTTTTTCAAAAACAGGTTTTATCCCATCCCACCTACCCGACCCCATCCGATTCCACACCACAATCCATCGTAACCCTAATTCACTTTCCACTCCAAACCTGCTGCTTCATTCTTCTATGACTGCTGCTTCATTTCAATTAAGATTCATAATTATTGGAGAATAATCATACCAAAAGTCATGATCTCCAAAGGTCATGATTTTTCATATGAAANTTTTCAAAAACAGGTTTTATCCCATCCCACCTACGCGACCCCATCCGATTCCACACCACAATCCATCCTAACCCTAACCCACTTTCCACTCCAAACCTGCCGACTGCTGCTTCATTTCAATTAAGATTTATAATTATTGAAGAGTAATCATACCAAAAGTCATGATCTCCAAAAGTCATGATCTTCCATATGAAAAGACACATCTTTTCATCTACATATTTTCTAGAATATTCCACAATATTCTACACGATTTTCCAACAATTTCAAGTGTTTAAACGGCTTCAATTTGGATTAATTTCTCATTCACCAAATAACGAATTCCGCTTAAATTATTTGAATTGGTCACAACCAATTTTAGATACAAAATTCCAACAATCCCCCACATGAATGAAAATTAATGCAAATGATTATGTAAAACTAGTAGAGAGAGAGCGGAAAACACTGCATCAGATAAGGTAGCATCTGGCCTTGAACCTCCCTTAGTGAAATACTATCGGATTTACTGGCTAATTGGTGAACGTGATGTCATGAACCATTCAGCCGTTGGTGTAAGTCAAAACAACAGTACTCAACACAATGTCTTTCCTAAACCGTTCGTGGTTCTCATGATTGTGTCCATTTTGGCCATCGACCACTCTTGGTTTCATAGGTGTTTAGAGAATTTTAGCCTCGAACAATTCTCATTGTAGTAGCCCCACTTCACACTAATATAGGCGATCTCCTATTAAGAGTATTATGCCATACTCTACTTGACTTAATTAAGATATATGAATCATTAAAAGTATATCTTAACCTTCAATCATTCTGCAGAAAGCACTTTAATTATCATAGGAATAATTTTCTAAGTGTGTCATGGAATTTTTATAACTTAGTTGTCCCTTTGAACCAAGATCTTGGGATCTCCGGTCAACGAGGTAGGGTTACCATTACAAATACTCTTACGTAGTAGACTTGAATCTCATTCCCGTTAATATGCAGTATTCTTGATTTTTTGGTAAATCTCTTAAAGGTACCACGAATTTACACCATTGAAATCGACTACTTAACGATATTATGTCTACGATTGATACGTCTAGACTTACCATTACATGTGACTTAGTATCTCATCAAATATAGCTAGTCAATGATCGATTGATTTAATAAATACAACATGTTACCACCAAGAAGTCATCACATGAAGTTACATGCTTCTAACTAGTTTTATAAATTCCAAACAACAATATCAGATAATTTCTATCACGCACTACACTAGTCCATTAGTTTTACTAGTGGATCTCAGAAATAGGGGTATTCAATACCATTATTGAAATATTACAATGTATTTCAGCTTTATGAATATTTTTCAAATATTCCAATTGATCTTGCATATCCAAACAAATGCCGTAATCATCTTTTATCCTATTTCATTCACTTTAGATTTAGTGTATATCATCCTTATAATTAATATAAAGGTTTCTACCTTTTCCACTTTCATAGATATATTTCTATGATTATAAGGTATAGAAAAATGTAACTTTTAACATAAGTTACCCCCACAATTCCTCAATTGGGAGTGCATGTGCAACTAGTAATGTTGCATCCACAAATCTTGAACTTTTCATATAAGTTCGCAAGCATTGATGTTAA